GGCTTCCCAATAAAGCCGCTGCCCACCCCGGGGGCTCTGGTGACGTATCCGGGGGTATCCCCCCCAAATCTTGTACTCTGCACACACGGAAGTGATTCACTTTGCAGCCTCAGTGTGTTTGCTCCGGAGGAAAACTCATAACACTGACCAACCAGACCCCCCCGTGTCTGGCTCTTTTCGGGTGCTTGTTCTGCTCCACGTTGCAGGAAAATCTTTCTGAAAGCTTTGCCCTCTGTGGTCCTTTCCTTTGGAGCTTCGGAGCCTTTGGCACGATTCAATTAAGTCAGAAGGGGATGGAAATACTCATTTTTCTGTATTAACAGATAAGGGAAACTGAGACTGGGATGTGCTGGGACTGGCCCAGCATCAGCTGGCAGGTCTGGCCCAGCTGGGGATAGTGGATGTGACTAACAGATCCTTGTTCTAAAATTGTAACTTACCTGAAATTTCTAATAAAATGAACAGTTCCTTACATTCCTGTATCACCTCTTTTTCTGGAGACTTCTCGTGTAGCCAAGACCCTCCCCTCTCTAGGCATGGAAGGCAAGCAGAGGTGTTGTTTGAAAAGGGGGTAACAGCAAAGTGTGTTGTGTTTCTTGCTGTTTCTTGGAAGAAAAGGTGTTGGAACCTGTAGCTGGGAAGCTTCTTGTTTTCCCTAAATCCTGTCTGAATGTGTCTCTTTCCTGTTGTCTTGAAACATGAGGTGTTTGCCCAGTTTAATGCTGGTTCTTTGGGTCTGGATCAGCCACAATTTCATTTGGCTGGAGCCAGTCTTTTTTATTCTGTCCCTCTTGGTGAATATCTCTGGCTTTGTTCTTTGGAAAACAACAACCAAAAAAAAAGAGGTAAACCACTTTTCTTGTTGGTAAACTTGTTTTTATTGTTACTTCTGTGCAGGGCCAGTTCAAGTGTCAGGATAACCATGATTTACAGTTAAATGTTGCCCTGAAGCTGTTCTGAAGTTACAGGATTGAGGAATAAATTTACCAGCTGAGTCCTGTTCCCTCCATGCAGCATGTGGGGTGTTGTGTGGGGACACCCCCTTCCCCATAGTCTTAGCAGGGTCAGGGCCTGGCTGAGATGTCTAGAATAGATGTTTTTCTTGTGGATTGTTTTGGGCTTGTTTTTTGGTGGTTTTTTTTTGGGGGGGGGGTTGTTGTGGGGTTTTTTTTGTATGTTTAAAGAAAAAAATACTCATGATTTGATGGTGGCAGAAATGCAGCTGGGCAGGAGGGAGGGTGGCAGCTGTTGAACAATGCCCAGCCACTGCACAAAGGTTGGGGGCAGCAGAGGCTGGAACTGGGTCCTATTGAAATTGCAGATTAAGTTCCTGCAAATGTGCAGGATTGTTTCCCTCTGGGCCTGCAGTTCTGCTGCCAAATTGGTTTAATCTGACAACTTGTTTGTGCATGAAACACTTAGAACTGGGAGAGACGTGGCGGTGAAGAGCAAAAATAAACGTGGTGGGGAAGGAGCCTGCGTGGAGTGTGGGAGGGATGGTGTGGTCTGGGAGGCTTGGACTGCTCTGCTTGGGTGCATCCCAGGCTTGATGCTCTTTCTTAAATCTCAGTGTCACACTCACCTCAGGGGCTGGAGAGGCAGCTTGAGTTGTTTGGACGTGAGGAGGGAATTCTTGGCTGTGAGGGTGGAGAGACCCTGGGCCAGGTTGCCCAGAGAAGCTGTGGCTGCCCCATCCCTGTGGGTGTTGAAGGGCAGGATGGAAGGGGCTTGGAGCAGCCTGGCTTGCTGGGAGGTGTCCATGCCCATGCAGGGAGTTGGATTTAGATGGTCTCTAAGGTCCCTTCCAACCCAAACCATTCTGTGATTCCCTGATAAACCTTGGCCCTGTGGAGGTGGAAGCCTGTGGTTGCAAGTTGCTGTGGGGCAGGGGTGGCCAAGGGTGAGTTGAGGCTTCCTGGGAAGCTGCAGGAGTGTTGGAGAACTTGCCTCCAAACGAGAGCTTAGATATGGGAGCAGGAGTGGTGGAGCGTGCATGGAGCCATGGGGCAGAGGTGATGTTTGGGTCTCTGTGCTCTCAGGGGGGTCTCTCAGCCCAGTCCAGCCTGGACTGTTACTCCCCAGGCCTTGCAGGGCTCTTTACTGATGCTGCTTTGGACCTTTCCCCTCTTTGCATGCTGGGTCTTGCCCTCTTGGTGTTCACAGCAACATTTAGATTGTATCCTGCAGGTTGGATTTTCTTGCTCAGGTTTCTTCCCTGCTCTCACGCTCTGTCTGTGGCTCCTTCCCCTGTCCTGAGGGTCTCCTTGCAGCACCAGCACCTGGAACAGACCCTGCTGCTTTGGATCAGGGTGTCACAGTCGTGTTAACAAAACCTGAACGTGTGAAGTTTGCAATTACTGAGTTTTTAGGGGGTTGGAAAGAGCAATCCCAGTACCATGGGATGTGCTGGCATCCCTTGCACCTGGGGGACAAGAGGCAGAGCAGAACTGCTCCATTCTGATCCTTTTCTGTCCATCCAGGTTGGGCTCTTCCCAAAGCCCAGTGTGAGGTTATAAAACTCCTCTTGTGTTGGATCCTCCTTGGCCTCAACTCTGGGACTTTTTGCCTCAAGCAGTTACCTGCTGGCCTTGCTGGCTGTTACTCCTTGTGGACATTGAGTTCACATTTTTCATAGTTTTTAAATGTAGAACTCTCAGGAGAAGAAAACTTAATCTTTCCAGTTCTGAGCAGTAACTGAAGGAAGCAGAAACAGGCAATTCTGCAGGGACAGTGTTTCTTTAATACAATGTCCCACAAACCTGTAGCACCACTTATTACTGGAGAGTTTTTACTTCCCTGTCTGGCTTTGAAGGCAAGAAAGGAAAAAGGGAAGTAGCTGATGTGTCTGAGGCTCTGAGGTGTTCTGCTCTCAAAGTGACGTTTCTGTTTTTCCAAGTGTTCCTTGCTCCAGTAGCTCCTACAGCCCTGGGCATGGCAGATCCTTGCCCACTCAGGAGTTTTAGCAGCAAGTCCTTAAATCTAGTGGGAGGTGTCCCTGCTCATAGCAGAGGGGTTGGAACCTGATGATCTTTAAGGTCCTTTCCAACCTTAATGAATCTATGGAACCCTTTACCCCAAGTACTTCTGCTCCTGGGTCCTGTTGGCTGCACATGATGCTTCATTTGGAGCTCTCCATCATGGAGAACCCCCCAGATGTACAGGTGGTCTTTTTGTCTCAGGGACACGTGGCAGTGCTATGGCTTTTGGGGACGTGTTGGGGAGGATGAGGGCCTGCCATGGTTTTACTCACTGCCTCGGTCAGTCTGGGTGCTGCTGCCTTTTATTTTTGGTTTCTAACAGTCTGTTCTCTCTTCTCCCCTGACCCACCACAGAGTTCTACCTTGTAAATACTGTTATTTGTATATACTGTAAATGATGACATCGGTGGGCACTAACCGAGCCCGGGGGAACTGGGAGCAGACACAGACACAGAGCCAGACACAGCACGAAGGGGCAGCGTCCATGGAAACAGGTTAGCTTGGAGGTGGAGCCCTGGCATCCCTGCCTGGCCCAGCACTGAGGACTGGGCTTGGCCTAACGAGCTTCCTGCACAGCCCAGTTAATTGGGCAGGCACTGCCCATGGGGCTCCTGCATCCCTGTCTCCAGGTGAGAGCCAGGGCTGAGACTGGGATTTAGTTCCCTCTGACTGTTCCCTGTTCACTGTACTGGAGGCAAGTGGCTGAGGAGCTGCCTGCTTGATGGTCTTGATGTTCTGGTGGTGGTGAGGTCTGCCTCAGAATGGACACAGGTGAGGTGGTTGTGGCTCACCTGCTGCCACAGGGCATCCAATGGAATGTCCCTTTCTTCCAGACTCCCCTCTCTCCCTTCTCTTCTGTCTGCCTTTCTCTCTGGAGCTTTCCTCTTCCTGGCCCTTGTTTGCATCTCTTAATCATCAATGGATTCCTTTCCAGAAGTCTTGGGGACATGGAATGACCTTTGGAGGAAGGTCTGTTGGGAATACCCTATTCTAACCCTGCTCTCTTTCCATATGATTCCTTAGGCCACTGCAGAACAGATCCGACTTGCACAGATGATTTCAGACCACAACGACGCTGACTTTGAGGAGAAGGTGAAACAAGTGAGTGTGGAAGGGGGAGGGTGAATGGGATGGGAAGGGGAGATCCATGTTGGGAGTACTCTGAGTGCTGGGGGGCTGGGAGGGATACAGCTGGCTGCTCCCTAAATTTCCTTGGACTGACTTGTTCCCCAGAATGCAGGGAATGGTGTTACCCTGAGAAAAGGATGTGGTAGGTTGGGTTGTGGTGAAACAACAGTAGCTCAGAAATTCCCACCCTCAGTTACTTTCTGCTGAGGAGGCTGGAGAGAATCCAAAACCCTGACACATCTCTCTTGGATTTCTGGTTTGGGATTCAACTTCCATAGAGATTTTGGTGCCGCCTTGGTTTGGAACATGCTGACCAGGGTGTTGTCTTCTCTACAGCTGATTGACATCACAGGCAAGAACCAGGATGAGTGTGTGATTGCTCTGCATGACTGCAATGGGGATGTCAACAGAGCCATCAACGTGCTGCTGGAGGGCAACCCGGACACGGTAGGGTTGGGTCCTGGGCAGCTGGTGAGGCCTGGCGCAATGTCACTGTCTGTCTGGAGACAAGACACAGAGCAGTGTCTGGATAACGGGGGTCAACATGACTGAGTAGTTCCACTCTGCTTTTGGGACCCCACCTGGAGCACTTCATCCAGTTCTGGAGCCCCCAACACAGGGAGGACATGGAGCTGTTGGAAAGAGTCCAGAGGAGGCCCCGGAGATGATGGGAGGGCTGGAACAGCTCTGCTCTGGAGTCAGGCTGGGAGAATTAGGGTATTGAGCCTGGAGAAGAGAAGGCTCCAGGGAGACCTTAGAGCAGCTTCCAGGGCCTGAAGGGGCTCCAGGAAAGCTGGGGAGGGACTTGGGACAAGGGCAGGGAGGGATGGGATGAGGGGGAGGGATGAAAAGTGGGAGAGGGAGCTGCAGGTTGAAGCTGAGGAGGGAATTGTGGAGTGTGAGGGTGAGGAGAGCCTGGGGCAGGTTGCCCAGGGAAGTGGTGGCTGCCCCATCCCTGGGGGTGTTGAAAGGGCAGGTTGGATGGGGCTTGGAGCAGCCTGGGCTGCTGGGAGGTGTCCCTGCCCAGGGGTTGGATCTAGATCATCTTGAAGGTCCTTTCCAACCCAAGCCATTCCATGATTCTATGACAAGTAGCATGTAAAGTGTGGTTGTGTCCTGGTTTCTATGTGCTGCTTGCACAGCACAATGTGGCCAGCAGAGTGTAGAGGGGAAAATGCAATAAATCATTGAGTTCCTAGTCCTTCTGGATCCAAGCACCCCCACAGCAGTGCAGTGGTGTCCATGTGATCTTTCACTCTGCTGTGAGTGGGAAGTAACTTGTCTCTTCCCGTGAGGGCTGAGTGATCTATGTTGAGCAGGTAGCACAGTAACCTGTGTTACTGTAACCTGTGTTGCTCTGGGTGACCCTGCTCTGGCAGGAGGGTTGGACTAGATGATCTCCAGAGGTTCCTTCCAACCCCAACCCTGCTGCCACTCTGTGAGAGGCCAGTGTGTGTCAGCTGGGGTTTCTTTTTGGTAGATTAATGCAGTTTTGTGTCTCTGACTCTAAACACTTCCCTCTCAGCGCTCTGCTGATGGGTTTGTGTGCTGCTGCCCACATTGTTGGGTTGTGAGGGTCTTTTTGCTGTTTGTCTTTCTGTGGAGTCAGGCTCTAGTGCTGCCACTCATGCAGGTGCCTGTCTCAGGCAAACCAAAGTCAGATGTGAAAAGAAGTGAGCCCTTGCTTAGGAGGAACCTCCTGCCTGGTGTGCGGGATGACCTTCCCTTTCTGACAGCAGGGACGTGAGTTCTGATACAGCCTCATAAGAAGGCTGTGAATATCAGATCCTTCCAAACTGCCTCTGACCAGATGCATCCTCCCATCATTCTGCCCTGGCTGAACCTGACTCAGTTCTTGTTAACAAGTTGAGGCTCTAAATATCACTGCAGAATATTAGGCCTTGTCTCTTTTTTTTTTCCTCAGTATTAGCCCTGAGTAGCTGGGCAAGCTGGAGAGCCCGGATTGTTCTGTGTAGTGTGGCTGCTCCCCAAGGTTGGGTGCTTTGCTGGCTTTGGCACCAGCCACGTTCAGGGCAGCATATCAGGCTTCTTCCCTGTCTGTAGGGAGCTTTTGTCCATTGACAGCTGAACAAAACGGAGTCACAGAACCATGGGATGGTTTGGGTTGGAAAGGACCTTCAAGATCGTCTAGTCCCACCCTTGCATGGGCAGGGACACCTCCCAGCAGCCCAGGTTGCTCCAAGCCCCATCCAACCTCCCCTTCAACACCCCCAGGGATGGGGCAGCCACAGCTTCCCTGGGCAACCTGGCCCAGGGTCTCCCCACCCTCACAGCCAAGAATTCCTTCCTCATCTCCAACCTCAATCTCCCTCTCCCAGTTTTCATCCATCCCTCCCTGCCCTTGTCCCAAGTCCCTCCCCAGCTTTCCAGGAGCCCTTTCAGGCACTGGAAGCTGCTTGAAGTCCTCCCTGGAGCCTTTTCTTCTCCAGGCTGAACAAATAGCTGTTGGAAAAATCTTTTTAGGAAGGGGGATGATACGAATGTTTCTTGCTGAGGCAAAGTTCAGCTGTGACTGCATTTTTCCTCCACACCTCTAGTAACCAGCAGCTTTTAGAGCAGTGCAGACCCCTGCTGCCACAGCAGCTGCATTCCCCAGATAACCACAGTTCTCCTGAAAACAGCAGCCAGGAGAGTGTGCAGCATAAACCCCCTTTTGTAGTTGAACCTCCTGTACTTGAGCAGCTGGAAGCCCCAGCAGCATGAGAGCTGCTGCTGCAGGAGAAGTGTGGAGGCAGAAGGGAGCTGGGAGAGCAGAGCTTGGGGTGCCCTGGGGGCTGTGGGCCAGGACCTGCAGTGCTCAGATGTGTCAAAGTTCTTGGAGCTGCTTCTGGCCTGGATTGAGCCTGTGCAGCAATCCAGTAAAGGGGATTTTCTGATAAGAAGTAGACGTGCTAATTGCTTGGATACTCCTGTGCTGATGAGGACAGCTCACCTGCTGAGCTAGTTACTCATAACATGCTGTATTTCAAACAGTGAAGGAGCTGGATTGGCTGTTGAGTTGGATTTGGCTTAAAATTAATGGTATTCAAAGTAAATATTTCCCTCAATTTTCTTCTGAGCCAGATACCTGTGGAGCCTTGGGTTTGAAGGCATTTTGTACCTCTCTGGGTTTTTCCCTCACTGTCCCTGTGTGGTGCCATCCAACACCAGCTGTGCACTTGTCTGCTGGTTACGGTTTTGGGTGTCTGTCAGTGACTTGTGACTATTTTTAATTGTCCTAACAGTGTGTGGCATCAATTTAAGAATCTGAAAGCACTGCAGACTGTCATAAAATGAACCAACCTGTGGCAGCAAGCTGGAGTCATGGTTAGCTCCTGCCAGTGGAACTTGGGGTGACTTGAACTTGGCTGTAGGATAAAGTCTGTGCTGCCCCTCTCCCTGTGAGCTGGTGTTTTAGGGGAGGGGTTTGTTTTCAATTACTAAAATCACAAAGCATTAAAGAGAGTAACTTACCCCAAAATACTGGCTGCAGAGCACTTTGGAACATTTACCTGGGTTATTCTGAGAGCTCCCCAAAGCAGTGGCCCCCATCAAATGGCAGGTTTCTTTCCCCCTAAACAGGTGAAAATGATCTGTGCTTTGAACTGAAGTATTATGCCCACTCTGTTTAAGAGCAGATCTTTGCAGAAATAGAATAACTCATGTGCTGTTATCTCAAACTGCGTTCCAATCAGCTGGAAGAGAGCTTTCCTTGAAGGAAAAGCCGTCATGTGTGTAGGTTGAGAGACTCTTCTAGAATAAATTGGGCTGGAAACTATTTTTCTGGAGACCTTTGTTATGGTCCCTGTGGCGTGTTTAAACGTGTGTGTTTGCATCCTGCATCCATCAAACTGTGATTAACTTCTTTCCCCTTTACAAACCTGCAGCATTCCTGGGAAATGGTCGGGAAGAAGAAAGGTGTCTCAGGACAGAAGGAGAGTGGACAGACAGAACCCAGTGAAGAAAGCAAAGAAAACCGGGAGAGGGATCGGGATTTCAGCCGGCGACGTGGTGGGCTGCCCAGGCGGGGCCGGGGGACCAGCCGTGGGAGAGAGTGTAGGGACCTGCCCCTTCCTAACACCCCTCTCTGTCCTGCTGCACACCCAGGCACTTCCTTCCCTATAAAAGCTGCCAGTAAAGCTGCTGGGGCAGATGCATTTTGAGGAAAAACCCATCCCTGTGTGCGTGGCAGTGTTTGATGTTCCTCTGTTGTTGCTGATTCCTTGGGTGCCGCCCTTGGTGCTATCGGCTGGAATGAAAGAAGTGATGGGAGTGTTTGGCAGCCTGGTTTCCCACAAGCCTGCTGTTCTTTGGTGTGTGAGGTCTGGTCTTGTATCCTCCCTAAAGCAAGAGGAATCTTGACATTGTCTTTGCATCTTTCTGTCTTCCAGTTCGGGGCCAGGAGAATGGACTTGATGGTGGTAAGAGTGGAGGATCTTCTGGAAGAGGCACAGAAAGAGGGAGACGGGGACGTGGCCGAGGCCGAGGTACACAGGGGGTTCAGGTCAGAGGGGGTGGGAGGGGAAGAACTACATCAGCAGATCTGTGACCTCCCTGTGCTTGGAAAACCTCTTTTATGGGAGGAATCACCAAACTGAAAGTAAGCCCTTGATTTTCCTGTTCTTGTGCTTAAACTTGGTGCCTACATGTTAACTTCCCCATCTTAAGCACCCTAAAAAGAGCATCTAGGCCCTACGTTCCATCTGTGGAGTTGAAAAAACAATGGGGCTTTATTGCATCGAGGTGGGAAGTTAAAAAAAAAACAGGTGACTGTTTGGCAGGTGGCCCAGGTCCTTGTTAGGAACAGAACATGGATCTTCCTTGTTCTTGCATGTGTGTTTCTGGGCACCATTGCTGTGCAAACACTTGGCTTGGTTTTTAAATACTCAGTGGTGGAAGTTCCTTTTTCCACAATGTCTGTGCTGCTCAGACAGCACAGTTGCTGAGGGCACAGCTGCAGAAATCAGGACCAGTGTACTGGTGGTTTGTGCCAGCTGGGCACTTCACCTGAGCCTGGAGTTACACTGCCAGCCATCTGAGGTCATATGAAGACTTGGCTGGAAATGCCATCAGCTCATGAAGATCCTCACCACTCTCATGTTCTGGGCATCAGAAGTCCACACATTCACATGTTTCTTTTCCTGGTGATTCAGAGCTGCTCAACACTGTGTGTCTGTTTGCAGGTGGCTCTGGAAGGCGAGGGGGAAGATTTTCTGCCCAAGGCATGGGGTGAGTGTCACTGGTACCATCACAGCCACAGTAAGTCTTTGTCCATGAATAGTGCTGTTGGCATCAGTCGTCTGTGTTCTGCTCTTCCTTTTATTTTTATTAATGAAGCCCAAAGTGCATCATACTAACTTCAGTTTGGAATAGCTGGTGGAGCTGAAGCGTCCGTCTGTTGAGGGCACTGGCTTTGGAGTTGTGTCATGGTCTGAATAAAGTCAGTTGCTTTTAAAAATCGTAGATTCATGGAATGGTTTGGGTTGGAAGAGACCTTAAAGATCATCTAGTTCCAACCCCCCTGCATGGGCAGGAACATCTCCCACTAGACCAGGTTGCTCAGAGCCCCATTCAAGATGCCCTTGAACACTTTCAGCAATGGGAATCTGAATCATCATCAAGGTTGGGAAAGACCTTCAAGATCATGAAGTCCAACCATCCACCCTACAATCCCCAACCACTAAACCATCCTATGAAACACCACATCTACCCCTTTTTTTGAACACCTGCAGAGATGGTACCTCCACCACCTCCCTGGGCAGCCTGTTCTAAGGCCTCACCACTCTTTCTGGGAATAAGTTTTCCCTCGTATCCAGCCTGAACCTCCCCTGGTGCAGCTTGACCCCATTTCCTCTTGTCCTGTCACTGGTCACCAGGGAGAAGAGCCCAACACCCACCTCACCACAACCTCCTCTCAGGTAGTTGTGGAGAGCAACGAGGTCTCCTCTCAGCCTCCTGTTCTCCAGGCTGAACAGCCCCGGCTCCCTCAGCCTCTCCTCGTAAGGCTGCTTCTCCAGACCCCTAGGAATGCTTAGGTAGGAGTAAAAATGTCCCATCTTCATGTTTCTTACAGAACTTTCAACCCTGCCGACTACGCCGAGCCGGCCGGTGCGGACGAGAACTACGGGAACAGCAACAACAACACGTGGAACAACACGGGCAGCTTCGAGCCAGATGATGGCACAAGTAAGTGGCCTTCAGGCTTGGGTTTGGTCGTTGGTGTTTAGTGAGTGAGTGGGGTTTGTGTCCAACCGGTTTCGCTGAGGAGGCTTTGGGAAGGTCTTTGGTTCAGGGACAGAGGAACAAGTTGTCGGTTCAGAGATGGATTTGTGGCCCTTTTCTTCACATCCAGAGGTGCCTTTGCTTCTGTTGGGTCACCACGTTGGATACCAGGAGCTGGGTGATTGTTCTGGTGTGAGTTTGTGTATGCACAAACTGGCACAGGAACACTTGGCTCTGTTTGTTTTCCAGCAGAAACCATGTTGCCTCTTTGGAAAAGTCTTTTTATTAACTGTAGAGTGATAAACACATGGAAGTTCTCTCAGTATTCAGTGCATCCTCCAGGGAATGCCACTCCAGTTGAGATCCAACTGGAGAGTGACAAGGGACAATGCTGGATTTTGATGAGTCTGTTGTGGGGTTTTTAGGAGTGCTTGTGTTGTTGATGTTGTTTTAAGGAGCTGTCTCACACCACCATGAAATCAAATTGTTTTTCTGTGATTTTGGAGCATTCAAGTAAACACCACATCCAGGTTCTGAGAAACGTTCACAACCATTTTCATGTTGCTTTGGGCAACTTCTAGATTTTTTTGTACTTGCTGAAAACTTTATAGCTTTGGAAAGACAGAAGTAAAGGATGGTGAACTGTGATACCTCTGCACACTGTTAGTGTAGGATTTTTTTGGCTGGTTTGTGTTTTGGGGTTTTTTTGTTGGGGTATTTTTGGTGTTGGTTTGTTGGGGTTTTTTTCCAGAAAAGGAAGAGCTGTTTTGAAAAAAAAGGGTGGGGGAATAAACATGGTTTTGTAAAACAGGAGCAGATTGAGTGATCATCATCTTGCCAACTGCCAAAGAGTGGTGCAGTTTTAGTCTCAACAGGCTTCTGTGTGGTGGTGATTTTTTTTTATTTTTTTTTTACTGTGTTGGTGTTTAGTGGAGTTGTGGAACAAAGTGGGTAAGAGTGTGGTTGGGGGGGAATGGGAGGTTTGTCTGACAGAACAACTCAAATTAGCTCTGGTGCTACAGCACAACATGAGTTTGATGGTACAATGAAGCTGTTCACTTGTGTGTGGTCGTTTGGTTTCCGTGTTAGTAGCCACAGGTATCTCTTGAAATTAATATCCACAGGTACAATGTGACTGGTGTACGTGGGGGCAGTAAAACTCACCTTCACCTCTTGGAAGTCAAAATTTCACTCGTCTTTCTTTTCTGTTTTTGTTTTGTTTCAGGACTTGATTTCATTGGGGGTGAGGGGGCAAATTATCCCCGAAAATTTGACACTGCTCCTGGTACGATTCATCCAGGTGCACTAACTGCCCCGGATACCTTTTACTTTATAGCTTTTTTTAAAAACAAACTTGAAATATCTGTGGATATGTCATTCTTGTCTCTCTTTATTTGTTCATTGTAATGAATATTTGACATTTTCTCTGAGTGCTTTTTACTAATACTGACACCTCAAATGGAAACGGGGAGAGGTTAACCCAAAATCTTGTGGATTGTGGAAATTTGAACTGCTCCTCAGCAGCCAGAGCAGCTCCATGTCCCACCCCAGAGGAAGCAGCAGGAGGCAGCTGGTCTCTCATCCCAAAAGCTGTGCCTTGCTGGTGTCCCCATGCTGTTCCCTCAGCATAGTGCTCTGTTCTGCTGCCATCGCCTCCCTGCTCTGT